AGAACGTTCTCTCCACCGACCCTGCAGTGAGCATCTAAACATGAGAATGTTCTCTCCACCGACCCTGCAGTGATCATCCACTACTTTACTTGATTGGTGACAATTTTGAGTATGTCTCATCCACATCCTCTTATGACTTGTGGTCTTGGAAAAGAGGGCTGTGTCTATCACATATGTACTTTTTTTTTTTAATCTAGAGATTGAAGAACGGCTCATTGGTTAAGAACACTTGTTGCTCTTACAGAGGGCCTAAGTCCTGTGGCTCACAAACACCCATGACTCTGGCTCCAGGGAACATAATGCCATCTTCTGGCTTCTGTGGGAACTTGCATGCATGAGTACTTAGTAATAAAATAAATCTTAAAACTAATTGGCCAGAGAACCACTTAGGTGTATGTGTGAAGAATTTTTCCTGTTGCACCTAACCTCTATTTTTAAAAAGGCCTTTACATTTTACCAATATGGACTCTAGTACATATCACTTCAGGTTACAAAAATTATGGGACATCAAGAAGACATTTCCAAAAATGAGTGTCTAAGTAGGCGCTAATGAATTATAACAAACTCCTTTCAAAGTTTCTTGAATTCTTTACTTTCAAAATTTTCAGCTGACTATTAAAATACTTTTTTTTTTTTTTTTTTTTTTTGGTTTTTCGAGACAGGGTTTCTCTGTGTAGCCCTGGCTGTCCTGGAACTCACTCTGTAGACCAGGCTGGCCTCGAACTCAGAAATCCGCCTGCCTCTGCCTCCCAAGTGCTGGGATTAAAGGCATGCACCACCACTGCCCGGCTAAAATACTTTTTAATGACAAATTACAATATAATTTTTAGTATACCATAGAAATGCGTTCAAGTAACTGAGAGACATGGTATTCTGTAAAGGAATATTCTTGCCTAGAGAGAGGGCTGGCCTTTTCCTTTGGCTCACTGGAGGCCCTCTCCTACGCCCACCCTCAGGATGTTCGGGTGGTATCTTGGATCACCCCTGGGCAATCAGCAATATGTTATATAGAGGGGTTTAGGGTTATGTAGCAACAATCTGACTTCTTAAGAAGCTGGAGACTAAGGTCAGCCATAAATAGCTAACCATATCTATGAGACTAATTCTTTTTTTTTTAATTTACTTATCGTATTTATATGAGTACACTGTAGCTGTCTCCAGATACCAGAAAAGGGCATTGAATCCCATTACAGATGGTTGTGAGCCATTATGTGGTTGCTGGGAATTGAACTCAGAACCTCTGGAAGGTAGTCAATGCTCTTAACAGGTGGGCCATCTATCTCTCCAGCCCCCTATGAGACTAATTCTTAAAGAAAAGGTTCAGAGACCTTTCCTGGTTGGCAAGATTCCATGTTATTGTTGTGTATTCCTGCTAGGAGAGTTTAGCACTGTATATAACTCCACTAAGAGAAAACAACTGGAAGCTCCCCATGGAAGACTTCCTTAGACTCTGCTCCACATGGCTCTTCCTTTGGCTGATCCATGTATCTTCTTCTCATTGAGCCAAACCAGAACTGTGAGCATAACAGTCTCTGGTAGATTTTGGCTGAGTCCCTTTTTGCCTTAGGGACCATTAAACTCTGCATATGGCTGTAACAAAACACCTATCTTTCCTATCTACTTATTACCTGAGTAAATCTTCTCAGTACTCACTTGAAAAAAAAAAAAAAAACAAGGAAAAGATTAATACTAAGCCCTAACTATTTCTGGCAAAAATAAAATAAGTTATATTCATCCACATATATAGAAATTGAAGAGAAAATGAAAAAATACCACGTTGTTCATTAAGATACATACTTTTGGAGCTAGGGAGAGAGCTCAGATGGTGGAGGTAGACACTGGTGGGTCCTGGGACTCACTGACCAGCCGGGCTAGCCTAATTAGCTAGGGCCAGCCAACAAGAGATCCTGTCTCAACCCAGAAAGGGAATAGCACCTAAGGAATGATACCCAAGACGATCTCTGACCTCCAAGCTGCCCCTGCCCACTTTGTTTAACAGGTGAGGTATGCTTCTAATCCCAGTACTGGAGAGCAGAGGCAAGAAGGTCAGAAGTGGAAGGCCAGGCTAGGCTACACAGCCAGATTCTTTCTCTAAAACAAAAACAAATAAAATTCTTTCAGAAGGGATGTGAGGGGGAAAAAAGTGAAGATAATTCACATTTTTATATGCCTCACAAAATTTAGCCAGTGCAAAGCATAAAGCAGGTGTTGGTTTGTTCCTTGGTGGAAAGCTGAACGATGCAAAAACAGCAAGAAAGAAAAAGGGAAATTCCTGAATACAATCAAATAAAAGTCTAATCTGAGAGCAAGTTCCTCTGATGGAACAGTTTGAAGAACGTAGGATACACAGGGCAATCAAGTAGAACAAGTGGATGAATTATAATTTTTTTCCTTCCTCTTCCTCCTCCTTCACTAAACATGTAACTTGGCTTTAGACTGGAAAATTCTAGGAACTTCAACTATACTGCAAGGAAAAAATTAAATGATGAAGGCCTCATCCTTCTGCTGGTCACTCACTTCTCTCAGAAAGAACAAGCCTTTCTGTTATTTTCATTTATTATTCTCCCAGGGAAGACAAATCACCTCAAATGCCAATAGGTAGCTGAATTCAGCACTCTGGGATGCTTTAGATTTCTTGCCCTAAACAAAAGCTAATTCATAGTGAACCATGATCTTAATAAAAGGCCTTAAACCTTAGATTGGCAAGATATCTCAGTGGGCAAAGGCACTTGCCACCAAACCAATTTGAATTTGATCCTAGGGACTCACATGAAAGGAGAAGTAACTCCTGAAAATTGTCCTCTGATCTTCACATGTCACCCACCCACACTAACAACAACCAACCAACCAAATATGAAAACAAAACAATTACCTGCCTACCTACCTACCTACCTACCTACCTACCTACCTACCTACCTATTCTGTCTGTCTGTCTGTCTGTCTGTCTGTCTGTCTGTCTGTCTGTCTCTGAATCAAGATCCTTGTGGGGTGAAGGTCATACAGTGATTCAGTATTCTTGTTTGCTGAGGTGAATAGCTTCCTTCTCACCATGCTCTTGAAGTCATAATGTTCTGCCTTACTATGGGCTCAGAATCAATGAAGTCATGAACAGCAGACTGAAATTGCTGAAGCTGTAAGCCCTTACCAAATCATTACAAAAAGTACTGGCTAACTTAGAACACACTTCTTTTATACTATACCAGAGTTGAAGTTTAAAAGTCAAATTATCAACAAAAAGACTGAGAGTTTAGCTATTGACCAAAATGAACATATGGGGCCAGAGACATAGCTCAGTGAATAAAGCCCGTGGCACACAAGCCTGGCAACTTGAGTTCAATATCTAGAATCTACATAAAGGTGGGAGAACCAAGAACACAAAGTTGTCCTCTGATCTCAACATATGCACGTACATACACATATGTACATACAAATACACAATTACAAAATAAAATTTAAAAATCCCTTCATTGAAAGAAGGTAGTGGTACATAAAGCCTATTATTTGTTTGCTTTTACAATTTGGAATAATTCCTATCATTGGTGTACAGGGTGGTTTTGTATGTCAACTTGACACAAGCTAGAGTCATTAGAGAGAAAGGAATCTCAAGTTGAGGCAATGCCTCCATGAGATCTAGCTTTAAAACAGTTTCTCAGCCGGGCAGTGGTGGTGCATGCCTTTAATCCCAGCACTTGGGAGGCAGAGGCAGATGGATTTCTGAGTTCAAGGCCAGCCTGGTCTAGAGAGTGAGTTTCAGGACAGCCAGGGCTATACAGAGAAACCCTGTCTCGAAAAACCAAAAAAAGAAAAAAAATTTTTTTTTCTCAATTAATGATCAAGGGGGGAGACCCCAGGCCATTGTGAGTGGTGCCATCCCTGGGCTGGTGGTCCTGGGTTCTATAAGAAAGCAGGCTGAACAAGCCAGGGAACGCAAGCCAGGAAGCAGCACCTCTCCATGGCCTCTGCATCAGGTCCTTTCTCTAGATTCCTGCCTTGTTTGAATTCCTGTCCTGGCTTCCTTTAGTGATGAATACCAATGTAGAAGTGTAAGCTGAATAAACCCTTTCCTCCCCAACTTGCTTTTTGGTCATGGTGTTTCATTGCAACAATAAAAACCCTAAGTAAGACATTTGCTATGCATCGGAACTATTCCAGAAGCATAAACAAGTGTAGGTGCTTGGACTCTACCTCACGGGATCACAGTCTGCTCCAGAACCTCCATTTAAAATGTATTTTGTTTTTATATGTGTGAATGTGCATCTGTGTGGAGATACAAATATGTGTGTGCAGTTGCCCATGAAAGCCAGAAGAGGGTGTCAGATCCCCTTGAGTGGGTTGTGAGTCACTCAGGGTCCGTTCTGGGAACTGAACTCAGGTCTCTTCAGGAGCAGTACACTCAATTGCTGAGCCATCTCTTCAGCCCCTAGCATCTCCATTTCAAAGCAGTCTTTTATACGATCATGATGCAAACAACAGCATATAGCATAAATACACTAAAACACTGTTTACATGGTAACTATCTTTTAATGATGTTTAATTGTTATTACTCTCCTCTTTACATATACACCCACACATTTTTAAAAAAATGTTGAGGCATCATTTTAATTTTAGCAAAGATAATTCAATCACTCTTTGGCATTGGTAAACTGGAATTGATAGCACAAACTATAATTCTCAATATTCTAGACATGAAGGCAAGAAGATCAAGATCTAAAGTCCTGCCTAGGTTACAGAATATTATTCTGTTGAAAGGTGAAGAGAGAGTAGAAGATGGGAAGGAAATGAAGAAGGAAAAGCTAAGGGAATTTCGTGTGAAAACACAGATGAGCAAAGCTTTGTGAGGCGTTACTGGTATCTTTTGGAATGAGGACCAGAGAGTAAGAACCTAGGAAAGGGAGAAGTAAAAATATGCCCTTCTGGTAGTATTTTCATTATAGACAAGCCACAACATTATGAAGCAGCCATTTCATACTTTCTTCCCCAGTTTTGTTGTGTGTGTGTGTGCGCGCGCCCGAGTACACAGAAGCACGTGTGCATATGTGGGTATCCTGGCCTGGATGAATGTGGAAGTGGGCATCAGGGTGTCTTCTTCAATCACTCCTCTGCCTCACTGTTATTTATAATCTACCACTTATATTTCCACCAGGCTGGCTGGAAATAGAGCTTTCGGGTTCCACTTGTCTCTTCCCTCCAGCATGAGGCATGGCTATAGCTAGCTTTTTATGTGTATTTGGGATCTTAACCCAGGGCCTCATGCTTACACAGCAAACACTTCCAATGAGCCATCTTCCAGCCCCGCATGCTGCTTTTTGCTGTTTTAAATACCGTAATAATTCTGGAAGAGTGTGGCATAAATACATCAGAGCTGAGCCCGTGCTCTGACAGTACAAACTGTGATACAACCAAAGGACAAAAATACACCTGTGATCACAGCAAAGTTAAAAATTTCTGTTTCTAAAAAGGCAAGGTCGGCCTGGACTACACAGCCTAACTCAGAAAGCTCTGTCTGATGCCTCTGGCACCTGAGTATTAAAGGCATACACACCACATCAAGCTCCAGATTTCATTCTTTTAGTTCTACTTTAGCCAAGAAACAGGTGATACTCGATTGTAATACCTCTAATTTCTAGTCACCAAATTGGGGATTTCATTTCATTATAACATTTATACATTAACATTATAACATTTATGACCAACATTTCAAGCAAAAGCCTTAATACCGTCAAAAGCACACACACATTTTCTAAAGTTGATCAGAGAGATCAGAGCTCTATCATTCATATTTACTTCCATCTCGAGACTTCCTTCCCATAAAGAACCAGAGCCTTAAGAGAAATACTAAAGTAACTCCTAGAGATGATAGATATTTACCTGGTCCCTGTTGTTGATGTTTGAATAAGGTAGCTGGCCAGTCATCAGTTCATACAGAACAATCCCAAATGCATACACATCTGACTGAAAGCTATATGGGTTTTTATCTTGCATTCTGATCACTTCTGGTGCCTGTTAAAATATAAAAGAAAAAATTCTAGTTTAACTTTAGCTGAATAAAGACTGAAATACAAATGATAATCCACAAAGTAACATCTTATTTAAAGAATTCATTGACTATGTAATTCTTCTACTAATGGTCAAAGAAATAAATCCAACTGAGATGAAGGGGAAAACTCCTGTTTTATAAATTCTGAAAGAGTTGGTTTGAGCTGAGATTTCATGATGCATTACTAAGGTTTTATAATTTTATCAGCAACCTTCTTTCTGAATGAACATCATCACTGCAATGTGACCATTTCTCAAGACTATCCTACCAGGATGAGTCTCCACTTCCTAGTCTTGATTGGCAAAGAAATACTAGACTTGCACTTATAAAAAAAGCTTGGGAGTAGGAAAGGGAATTAAGTTTTGTCACTGGTATAAATGATTTTCCTCAACTCAGGGAATGTTAGAAAATAATGGTAGAATTTAGAGGCTGAGAAATTCAAATATCCTTCCAAGTTACACCATAAATGTGTAGTATAAAAATACTTTATTAACAAAATAAGATATAACAGGTTGACTCATTAAATTTTTAGTTGCTGCTTCTAGGGCAAACGAAGATCAAATCATATCTACCAAATTCTCACATAATTTAGTCACTTTGCTGTATAACTCAGTTTCTTCTTTCTGTGTAATACAATGACTGACTGGTGAAGAACTGGGGCTTCTTCCTTCGCTTTGCATCTCTTACACTGTGTTGTCAGAAAGGAACTGAAGAAGAGGCAAAGGGTATTAGTGAAACTTGGCAAATTTAGCAGAAAGACAATGTTCTTGTTCTTGGCAAGGAAGTATCTCCCTGAGGAATAACAGGACTCAACTATAGCTGCATGTCAGAATTGCCTGTGCAGTCTACTCAGTGCTAACTTCACTCCAGTCTGACCCAGAACATCTGGATCTACAAGTGGGACCCATACATTGCTATGCAGAGTTCTACACATGATTCTGCTGTCCGCCCAAAGTTAAGAAACATTTAATGGAAGATCTGTGGGAAACCTAAGAGATTAAAGGACAACAGTGGAGGAGAATGTCTTCTCCACTTGTTTTGTTATGAATATTGTTGACAGGTGCTATTTTAGTGATATGGTGTAAAACAAACCACATACAACTGTGATAAGATGAACAAGTAATTTTTTTGGAGGTGACAGAATTTAGATCAGTTGAAGAATTGTGTTTTAAACTTTAGTTTGCTTTTACTGCTGATAAATGGCTAGACAAACAGTTGTATGCCATCTCCTTAAATAAAATGTGTGACAGATCTTCAATTTGCTAATTTATTAAAATTTTCACATAAATTTATTTCTCTTCTAAGATATAAATGAAAGTAGAAAAGACTATTGTAAATAATTCAGAGGTCCACATAACCTGGTTTATGATCAAATTATTTTTTCAAGTTATAAATATTCTACACCCTCAAGAACTTGACAGGGTCTCACTATGTAGCTCTGGCTGTCTTGGAACTCGCAGAGGTCCACCTGCCTCTGCCTCTGGTATTAAAGGCATGTGATATCACAACTAACCAATTTATTTCAATTTTTATGTGTATGGGTGTTTTGCCTGCATATATGTCTGTGCACTATGGAGGTCAGAAGAAGGCTTCAGACTCTTTGGAACTGGAGTTTACAGACACTTGAGAGTTGTCATGGGTGCTGGGAATTAAACACAAGTCTTTGGAAACAGCAGCCAGAGCTCTTAACAACTGAGCAATCTCTACAGTTCCCCATATTCTTTTCTGAAGGCAGTTATTAACCTGAAAGATTTGTTCAACAATGAAGTGCATTGTTGGCTGGCTACTCTACTCTTAAAAAACTCCAGCATGATTGAATAAAAGATTAACTCATTGATCCAGGGTATCAACAAAAAAGTAATCAGAAGAAAATATAAAATATCTTGTCTAATACTCTACTAACTATACAAACCAAGGCATTTGAAAAAGAACAAACCAAGAGACGTTCTGTAATTTCAGAACCAAAAAGACTCCCCCCCCCCAGCTCCTTGGGACACACTGCAATCTTTCTTAGAATCATATGCCTAAAAGATTCCTGAAAGCGAGATTACAACCAATTAGTCTCTTCTAATTAGTTAAAACAGTTAAATGTATAATCAAAGGATTTTAAAAAGAAACTTAAAACTGTCATATAGAATCTAAGAAAGGGTCTTGTCATCCTCTGGTCTGACCTAACATTTCAGATGAAGGGACTCAAAGGAAGTTAATGGCCAGAGGGCAGCTCTCCCGCCCACCTCTGAAGGGCCGCTTCTTCTCTCCCACTTTGCCACTGGTACTAACTTCATCCCAGAAATCATACTCAGTCTATCCGTACTATTTGGAGAATCTGCTTCTTGGAGACTGCTACATATTATTCTGGGCATTTAGACAAACATGGGTTTGAAAGCCCTTCTAACTTCTCTGTTTCTAGCAGGGTGACCCGACAGTGTTAGGGAAAATTAATTTAATGATTAAAATGGCACAAAGATGCTTAGAACACCTGTAGTCAGCTCAGAGCTGAGATTTTTTTTTTCTTTTTTTTTCTTTTTTTTTGGTTTTTTTGAGATAGGGTTTCTCTGTGTAGCCCTGGCTATCCTGGAACTCACTCTGTAGACCAGGCTGGCCTTGAACTCAGAAATCCGCCTGCCTCTGCCTCCCAAGTTCTGGGATTAAAGGTGTGCGCCACCACTGCCCAGCCAGAGCTGAGATTTCAAAATCTGTTGGACTCAGGATTGTTTTTACTCAAATATAATTGAAGATCATACAGTGTTTGTCTATATGGACAACCTCTGTGAATATTTAAGACATTAAAACTCAACTGACTATTAAATTACTTACTAATGCATTTAAATATTAAACAGACAGATATTAGCAGAGAATGCCTACTCTTCATACAACATCGGTGACAACAGAGCTATAGCCCTCTCTACTCTGACCTAACAGCAACAGCTTGGAATCTTGTATGCAGTGTGTCACTCTGAAGGACAGGAAGATCTATGGGCCCTCTGAAAGGTCACATGGAACCACTGTGGGTTCACAGCAGGATTCCTAGAAATAACTCTTCAACAGCCTGCTGCAGAAACTGGTTTTGCAAATCTTTTAGACTCTCTTCTACAAAGCAGAAAGGAGACAGACCTGTGCAGAGAGCACAGGACGGCTAAAAATATCCTCTTTTCTTTTGTCTTTTCTCTTCCAATTGGCCCATAATTATGAAGTTTGTTTTAGTGTGAAGAAGTCTATTTCCAATTTTGGCTCAAATAAAAGTGTGAGAGAGCCTTTCTGTTATGAATAGTGTGTTCTCTTCCTCCACCACCCGCCCCACCCTCTCTCAGAACAGCTTTCTTAAGATGTTCCTTTGGTTGCAAACATAAAAAAAAAAAAAAAAAAAAGGAGGATAGAAAAACCATTTCAATTGAACATTATTTTGTTTTGTTTTTAGACAGGGTCTCACCCAACTCTGGCTGGTCTTGATCACAGAGGTACACCTGCCTCTATCTTCTGAGTGTTGGGACTAAAGTGTACCACCAAACCCAGCAAACAAAGTATTTTAAACAATTTTTAATAACACTTAAACAATTTATAATATAAATTTTGTTTAAATATACTGAAACTGGTTTTGCAATAATTTTTTTAAAGACAAGAAAAAATTTACACAAAAAATAAGAGACAAGGTCTCACTTTGTAGCTTTGGCTGTTCTGGAACTATGTAGGCTAGGCTGGCTTTGAACTAACAGACATCTACCTGCTTCTGCCTTCTAAGTGCTGGGATTAAAGGCATGTGCCTGGCTTACAATGTTATTCCTGTGAATAGAGGGAATTGTAAATACTGCTGTTAAGGCCGTCAGTGACTTTGTAGTAAGCAGTCACTAGTTTAGGATTGAAGAATGTGATCAACTGAGAAATATCCTCAATTCTTACCATCCACAAAATAGATCCAGACAACTGTTCAAACTGATGGGACCCACTCCACCGAGATTTCACTGTGGCTAGACCAAAGTCACCTATTTTTACTGTGAGGTCTTCATGAAGAAATATATCTGAGGTGCAGTAAATAAAGGAAAAAAAACAGATCTCATTTTCCTACTAGAAAAAGCATTTTGAAGATTTCAGGTTAAAAGAGCTACTTTCTATAGCTCTATAGTAATATGTTCTTGTCAAAATATAATGATTCATATGCCCTCTGAAAGTCAACAAATATGTTTTAAACAAGAATTCGTTCTATTTAGCTTAAATGACCTACTTTTAAGATGTCCCAGGCCTGAAATATGTGAGCATAAAGTTAAGACACCTTCCTAAGCCTATGGGAGATCTGGGGACTTTCTAATTTGATTTGGCCCAGATATACTTTAACTCTGGGGGGAAGCTATATAGACTCTTTATTAGAATACAATGATATCAGAAAGGAGCTTTGTGGACTGAGAGACAAAAAGAAAAATGGTTTTTTTTCATGTCACTGTTAAATAATTTTGAACCTTCAGTTTCAAATCTTATCTACTACTGAGCCAGATCAGATGAATAAAAGCGGTTGTCACAGAATACCCACTTTATAGGGCACATAAAATACAAGCAAGCAAGACAAAAAGCCCACTACGATAAAGACTTCTGACAGACTTTCCTACAGTGCCCAGTCATTCAGAAACCCAACCATGCTGTATCCTGCTCTATTATACTCTCATGCAAATTGGTTCATTTTCTTTATAGCATATGAATCTTAGCACAACACTAGTTTTACATAAGATGAAGACAAAATGTGGAGGAAAAAGTCAGGGTGCTTTCAGACTTCGCAGACCAATTTCAGGAAGGATACTATTACTCTTGAGGTCTCTGTGGATGATTGACTTGGCGTGTAAGTAACTGAAAAACAAAACATTTTAACCTGAGTAAGACTGAGTAAGACTTCGGCCTCAAAATCTACAGAGCATAGTTAGTGGTGTACAGACATATTCAGAATAGTGACACAACTGAAATTGATATATTGTGATAACCTCTTTACATAATAATTGACGGTAATTTTAGGATTATAGAAACACATTACTATTATATACAGCCTCTGCTTTCTCTTTTACTAGCTACAATACAAACCTTTCACTCAGTCAAGCCTGTTTATCCATGTTCTTGAAATACACCTTGACACTTAAATCCTACATCTTTCAATGTTCCCCTGCTGAATCGGTCCCCAAATCAGCTTCCAGTCTACTTTCCACCTATTCATACGCTAAATGAACAAATAGTCTTCTTTTCTCACAAGAAACCCAACGGAAAGTAATCATTCCTTTCCCAATTATAGAGTAATTTAATGCAATAGTTTGATCCTTGTTTGCTTTGTTTCTCATGTGTCCATGCTTGCTTTCCATTTAGAATGCAAACTCCCTTAGACTATGAAAGTTTGGTAAAGACAATTTATAAGACTGTATCAAGGCATAATATATTCTTAAAACTTGTTAGTATTAGTGAGGAAGAAATTTTCTCATAATGACATATTACTATTACTATGATGATAATGTTGTTGATATCTTTTTTGAGATATGGTCTCACGAGATAGCTCTGGATGTCCTGGAACTCACTGCATAGACCAGGCTGGCCTTGAACTCACAGAGATCTGCCTGCCTCTGTCTCCTGAGTGCTGGGACTAAAGGTGTGTACCAGCATACTTGCCAGCATTTCACGTATATGTAGTTATCCTAAATTATCTTTAAAAACTACTTTAGTTTTAGACTTTATTTATATTTATTTCCAATGCATGGGACAGGGCCTAGCAGGTGTGAAGTATTCAATACATGGCTGCCAAATCAACTATAGTAAGTGCAAGTTATCAGTCTTATTACTGGAGAAAACAGATATAAAGAACTTTGGAAATCTAACAGTGACCACATTGAATTCTGACTTAAAATCAGGATATAAAATCAAAGTCATTTCATGAGCACTATTAAAACTAGAGATTTATAAATAGTCCAGACTGTTCACACCTTCCTATCACACATCTTCATCAAGATCTGCAACTATTTTTTTATTTGAACAAAAATTTCATTTTAAATCACTGTATTCAGAGTAACCCCTTTCATCCATCATTCTTCATGCTATTTCCTTCACAACACTGACTACAATCTAAATGATCTTGTCATGGCTCTCAGAGCTGGGCTTCCACTCCATCATTAACGGCAAAAGAAAATCAGAGATCACTTATAAGTCTCATCTGCTTTAAATCTTTTAAAGATTTATTGTATTTCTCATTTATGTGTATGGCTGTGTTTCCGTCTACCAGCCACACATGTGCAGATGCCCGTGAAGGCTAAAAGAGGGTGCTGGAGGAAACTGACTCCTGGAACTACAGTTACCAGCTGCCCAATGTGGGTTTTGGGAACTGAACCTGGGTCCTCGGGAGGAGCAGCAAAGCAGAAATCTGATTGCAAGAAACACAGCGAGAATAAAGTAGGTAAAATTTAACTGAAGGGTTGAAGTGAGAAAATTTAGGGTCAGGAACTTGATAGATATCGATCAAGAGACATCTAATTACTAACTAGTGACATATTGGTTAGTAAAAGCTAGGGCAAACGCAGCAGAACTCAATGTTGCTTGTGCATGGTGAAAGGAGAGTTATCTATCCATAGTTCTCCTCTGACTGCTACACAGCCATGAAGTACAAACACCTACCAAAAATGAATACATGTGCTGAAAAGTTAAAAAGGAGTTTCTTCAGTTTTGCAATTAAAATATACCTTTAGACTGAGGTAACTACTGAAAATGTTTTCTTTCAGTATGGATTAGTTTTGTCTTTACTAGAATTTAAAGAGATACTTATTTTTGCTCAGCCTACAGAGTTTGAAATCCACACGGTACTGCACATGTAGTATGGATATACATTGAAGGGTTGGAATATGGGCTCTCTTGGGCTTCAGCAGTTCCGTATAAGCCTTTGTTGTTGATTCCTGTTGTTATTCTTTCGGGTATTTAGGGCAGGATTAGATCTGCTAACACGTTTAGTTTACCATTAGAATAAATTATCATGGTTTCCCCAAATCTTACCAGTAAGGCAAAAGAGTTTTGGCTGACTGTCATCCTTGCTGAGACTTGTGCATTGCAGGTTTGGAAAATGGGCATTTTGATGGGATGGGTTTGGAAAATGGGCATTTTGATGGGATGGGTT